GTGGATGTGTAATACGAGTAGTGATAGGGGTGGAGTGCCATTTCTTTTTTTTTAACATTTGTAAGCAGCATTGATGAGACTGGTACTGGGCAGTTTGTGTTGAAAAATTGGAAAGAGTACAGAGAAGAGCCACACAATTGATTTAAGGGTTGGAGAAAATGTCTCAAATGAGACTTCTGGAGCTTAAACCACTTGATTTGTGAGAGGTCATGGGGTTAGGCTATAAAACTACATCCGTATATGTATTGGGTACAGAAGACCTCTTCAAGTAAGTTGAAATGGGTATAATAAGAATCAATAACTGGATCCTGAAGCTGCACGAATTCAGATTAGAAATTGGACATGTCCTATATTTATTTTTAACCCATGAAGATTATGGAGGATTTCCATCCCCAGTCTCTTCCCTGTTTCTCCTGCTAGCTTTTTTCCCCCCTCTATCATTGTCTTTTTACTGGTTGCTAAGCAACCAGCTCAGCCTATGTGACCTGGACCAGGTAAGAGTGGGGTGGATTTTCCTTTCTATTCTAAGCAGAGACCTCATGGCTGGGGGGGGCAGGGCCGGTAGTCCCTTTCACTCCACCATGTAGTGATGATGCTTTTCAAATTGGTTGGCTAGCAGCCAACAACTGCTGGCCTTCATTGGGCCCCCAAAGGTGATGTCAAAAGGTCTGTATAAGTCAAGACTGCCCAGGAGGTGGGGCAGAGCAGCCATGATGAAGACACACTCAGGAGCTGAAACATCTGCAGCTCTACTCACTTCAGCATCTTGAGCGAGAAACTACTGAAACCTATCTAGATGTGTAGCTTGCTGTAAAGTAGATGTGTGATCAAAGGCTACCTAGCCACACTGTTTGCTCTAGGGTTATTCTGTAATACTTCTCTATTCTGCACCCTTCCCCAAGCCTTCCCTCTGTAGCCACTGAAGTTCTTCACTGTATCAAGTGTGGTGGACTTGTTGGGAGAGGCATGCCTTTGTGTCCCCTTGGTTTGGCTGAGTAAGGGAGGCTACCTTTTGTGGTTCAGGCTAAAGGAAGCACCCCAAGCTTTTGCAGTGGGTCAAGCACCCTCAAGGTCTACAAGGTCTATGTACCCCAGGGGGCACAGGGCTGAAGACTGACCAGATCCCTTGGGTTGTGGCAGCAGTGCCCCCAGGCTTGTGGGTGTGCTCCAGGAAGGGGATCAGCCAGACATCAGGCGACCTAGGGAGGCACTTGGAGCTTGGCAGGTGGATGGGTGCAGTGAAGTGGGTGGCTCAGCTCGGGAGCGCCCCCTACTGGCCCGTCACAAAGATAACTGACTGTTGGAAAAAGCTACAGGGGTGAGTGGTGGATTCTCCATTTTGATTTGATGCCATCATATCAAGATTGGGAATGCCTGTCTGGAAGTTATTTTAGCTGGACGCAGGATTAGGTTCTCTGCAGGGGAAATGGCTGAAATTCAATAGCCTATAATACTCGAGAGGTCCAAACACCTGAGCTGACCTTACATTATGCATCTATGAAAAATAAACCTATTTTTTGTCTTTTATCACTGAACACGTCATTGATGCTTTGTCATATTTTCTTTATGCCTTATGTTTCTGCTGCTCATAATACTGTCCCCTGTGCCCATGGCATTAAAATGTTCCTTATTACACCTGTCTTATCACTTTGAAACTTTTTTGGCTCCCCATGTGCCACTGTTGTACGGTGCTGTGTGCTATTGCTGCATCACTTTTTTTGTTGTTACACTACCACTGCATGAAACTGATTTTGCAGGCTGGAGGCAGAACATTTTGCAGGTCTGTGGGTCTTGGAAGTAACTTCAGATTTTATAGCTACATCTGTTGTCAAGTTTTACAAAAGACAAGATACTGCATTAAAATCGGAATACTCTCAGAAATACAATATGGGTAGCAGCCGTGACTTAGTTAAACAATCATACGCAGCTAACTTCAGGGGGTAATGCTACCTGCAATTAATTGACATAGTTTCATGTCAGAG